AACCCAATCCGCAATCATTACAGTGGTCTTAGGACCCTCTCTTCCAAGCAAAACAAAACAAAACAAAACAAAAACGAGGGAAGTAAGAGAGGTGGAGAGGCAATACAGTATATCATGGTAATGTGCTTCAACTTCATCAAGTATTTAATTAAAAACAAAAACCAAAAAAAAAAAAAAAAAAAAAGGGGGGAAAGAACAACCCGTCAACATGTTACCTTTGGTAGAAAACAAATTAAACACAAAATGAAAGAGCAACACGCACCACCAGTCACCACTCAGTAAAGCAATGATGGTCGCAATAGCCTGGTGATGAACATCCTGCTGGGTCCAGAAAAGGTACAGATACAATCACAAAGTCTAAAGGAGTCGTATTCCCTTCAAATATTTGATGTTTCCAACAACTAGACCCTTAGAATTGCTCCTAAAAGGGTAGATTTGCAGACATTCAAAATACAAAATATTCTTCTCTTGAAGAGAGAAAGAGACCTAAAGGTCTTTATTTGCAGGTTAAGTCCTCAAATAGGTCAGATGAACCAGTAGTTTCAATAATACTGAACAAGGTCATGGTGTGCATAATTCCTATGGGGGGGGGCGCAGATTGGTAAGTAATACTTGGGATTTAGGATGAATTTGCCTGAGTACAGGAATATTTGGTTTCGAGGTTTCTTTTTCAAGGTCAATCAAATGTTTCTCGTGGGAGAAATCAGTTCTAGATTTATCAAAATGTTTTCTTCTAGAGCTAAAGGTGGCTTCCCACTCCTGCCCACTCCCCTGTGGATTAACACTATGCTTTTCAGAGACCCATCAGATGTGAACATGAGGTAGATGACTTTCGCCAACAGTGAGGTAGAAACGAAACAAAAGCAAACAGCGTGGTGTGGAGCTACTGTGTGTGTCCTGTGCCCCCGGCCCGCAGGAAGAGCGAGGCCCCCGGAGGTCCTTGTTCTACGATATCCTCATGCGCGAGCAAGTACGAGAGTCTGACTTTTATACAGCCCCAGACTGCTGGAAAATCCATCAGTGAGGTTTTAAATAAATACCTACATACTTTTTTGGCACCACTGGATTTTTGTTTTTAAACAGAAAAAACAAGCCTAGAACTTTGGCATATCTCTCACTACCTAACAGAACACAGCAACCGTAGAATCTTCCAAAGAGGAAGACACACACAAAACCAGTATTCTGCTGCTTCAAGCCTAAAAAGACTTCCCCCCTCAAATTAAGCTTTGGCTTAACTAGAATAAAACAGACTGAGCCAATCTCAAGCCATTCTCTTATAGCTCCATCACAAAGTGCCTCAAATCTGGCAACTTTTTTTGGCCCAACACACAATTTAGATTCTGTTTATGGTACCCCTGTAGGTGTTTCCCCAAATAAGTTAGACTTAAAAGGGCATCCATCCATCAAAGATTAGTGCACTTGCATCCTGCCCGGGCCACTGGGCTCCAGCCAACTCTCGTGCCACCTGCCAGCCACCAGAGAGCAGAGGTTTCTGAGACAGTATTGCTTCTTGTGAACAAATTTACAGAGAAAAAATTTTTTAAGATTAACACTTTTGAAATGTTAACTGTCAACCCAAAGTGGTTTTTATTTGTGGGTTACTTAGATGTCCTTTAGCCATCTCAACACCCAGACTTACATATCCAAACCCAACTGGCATCTCCACACACACACTGACCTCATATCCCGCACCATCCCCGCCACCTGCCCAGATGAGACACATGGGGATGACCGGCTGAATACCCCATCGACTTAACAGAAACAGTTTATACTCCTCTCTTGTAGTCCCTACAACCTTTTCTTTTCAGCATGTTCAAGTCTCTCCTCCTCATCCACCCAATTCCTACCCACCCTAGCATCACTTGACAGGCAGGAGATAGCCAGTTAAAAACCCCAATTTTCATCAACCTCACTCACACTAGAGTTCCAAATGTTGGCTTTTCTCCTCTTTCCTTGATTTGGAGCATTCCACATCGTACAATAAACACACTCCAAAGTGCTTCGCACCAGTCCCTGTGGGGCAGGAGTCAATCATGGGCAGCCACAGATGGCCAGTGTTTTAAAAACAAAAGCTTCCCATGTGTGACCACATTTCTCAAATGGCCGTGATGCACAGTTCTGGGTGCAGAAAAGGAGGAGATGTACCACCACTGAGAGGAAAGAGGCAGCATCGTACACTTAACTCATTTCAGGGGAGGACTACTAGCTTTGAGCCTGCAAACTGGTCAGTCTATTAATTAAGACCCGATCATTTCAGTCAAGTGTGGAAACCCTGGCTTTACAACCAAATCCACAGAGAAATGCTAACTACACAGTTTTATGTTACTGCTAGTCACCAAAAAAATTTCTCACTCAGGTCCCATGATTCCCCCACATCCGGGGACACTGGGAAGGACAGATCAGAGTGAAGATGGGAGAATCAAAGGTAGTAACTACCCGAAGTAACTCATCCCGGGTTTCTGAGAACGCTTCTAAGAATTTTCAAGATCCATTTCTTCAATAAAATTTTGTAAGCATTTAAAACCAGTTGTCTTTGGTGTTTAAAGGGTGATTTGTTGGGTGGCTGGGGGTGGGTGGGGATTGAGGGGTGGAGGGGAGGAAGATTAGCACCAAGTTATTTCCAAAATAAAAAACAATAAAAATGTTTAATTACACAAACTCTTCACCAAAGAACATAGAACCTAGGGGCAAATAAAAAGGCCACTGAATAGGAACTGGGGAAGAATTCAAAATTAAATGCTTCAGCAAAAGAAAAGGTGGTCTTAGAAAGTAAGATTTCCTGAAGCCTCCTTGCCCTGAAACACAGCAGCTGGGAGGGAGCGGTCTGACACGACTTTCCAGTTTTGGGATCCTATATTGCATGCAGTTCTCCTTTATGAAATGAGTTTGTTCCCATTTTGGTCATTCAGAAACCCCAGAACTAAAGCAAGGAGGACACAGGGTACCCTGAAGTGGTAAATGCCGCCTCCCAAAAAGGCGGGGCGGGGGGGGGGGGGACAAAAAACCCAATTTGATTGACTTGCTCACTACCCCCATCAACTCCTTTTCTTTTGGGATGACAAAAACAAACTGCTCCACAAGGTCCTTCTTCCAGTTCCTTTAAAACTACATCTCTACTGCAAGGGGAATTTCTCCAAAATACAGGAACAGAAACTGATATTAGTCCTTCTGTTTGAACAAGAGGTTTCCCTGGAAGCCCCCGTCATCTGAGAGCACCTCTGGCTCCTGAGGCACGCTCCTCCAGAATTTGGTTCTCCTTCAGTACCTGGGGGAATGCAGGGACCCACACAGGTTCTCGCAAGCAGATCAGCTCTGCCTACTTTCCACTTGAAAGACAGATAATGCCCAGAAGCACAAGGCTTTGTACCCAAGTCCAGCTTACTGCAAACCAACCCTGTAAAGTGACGGACGCCATCCCACAGTTCTGCAGCGGGAGCCTGGCTTCGATTTTCATTCTTTGGTACCGAGACAGAGGTGTAACAAAGATATTACATCCTACATTTTGGGTTGGGACAATTTGGTTTACAAATTTTTTACATTCAAAGGCCTTTCGGGAGTAAATTCACGTTAACCATGAGGTCCTACTGCATGGCCTGGGAGCAGACCACTCTGGAAGACGGACCCGAGCAGAGGGTGTAGGGATGGGTTGTTCCTATTCATTTGACTTTCAAACATTCTATTTCCCTGAACTTCCAAAGCAGGAAAAAAATTGTGCTTTTAAAGGAAAAGTTCATTCCTTGGCCTATTCTTCTTAAAAAAAGAAACACCTAACATTATCAACAGAACAACATTCAAGCTGGGGTCAGGGACTGACCTCCACCCTCCCGCAGACGTTGGGGGTAGCCTGCTGCTTTCTCATGCTCTCTACGGACTACCTCGGCACATGCACATCCGCCCACACTCAAGTCCACAGGCCGGGCAGGTCTGACACCCTCTTTCTGAGAATGAGGCTGATTTTCTTCTTCCTTCCGCTGAACTTTATAAACAATAACAAGCTAAGAATACTTAACTTCTGAGAATACTTTTAATCGAAAATCCTAAGCTACATCTATTTTTTAGAAACCGAAGTGTGAAAGAAAAGGTTTTTTGGGTGGTGGTGTACGCTCCTCAGCTTTACTATGTTGGTGTAGACGGCTCAGTCACGCACACACGCACGCACGCACACATGCACACCATCCCTTAAAAAGAAGCAAAGATTACATACCCTAAAACATGAATAGAAATGGTCTGCTTTTCTTGGCCTGCAAGCCACAGCCACATCCACATCCATGTCTTCTAAGAATAAGAAAAAGATGCTGAACAGGGTGATAAACACACTGAGGTATTAAAGGAGAACACAGAAAAGTTCTCTGTTGCAGCATTAAAAAAAAAATTTTCAAAGAAAGATTTCTTAAAAAGATCAAGATCACAACACAATCTAATCCCGTAACACAGTATTCTCCAGAACACAAATACTCTACAACTCAGCATTTTAAACCTTATTTTTCCACATTTTATAGTTTTTTTTTTTGTTTTTTGTTTTTTGTTTTTTTTTTACTTAGTAGTTCTTTCATGTTTCCTTGGCTCAATCTACAGAGTACACCCCACCACACACCCAGTGCCCCCCCAGCCACAGAGACACCAGGCTTGTGCATATCACGCCCCACAACGGGTCAGAGGGGAACGTGAACTCCGCTGAGTGAGGGTGGGGAGGAGGGCAGGAGGAGGGCAGAGGGCCTGCTGGAGAAGGAAATGTAAAGATTTATGAGGTAGATAGAAATTATCACGTCACAGGCTCAATCCCTGCAGAAAAGATAAGTACATTCATCTGTAAAAAAATAAAGATGAGGTAGGACTTAAGCAATGTTGTACTCTTCTTGTTCTTTTTAAACAAAAGAAAAAAAGAAATTTCCCTGAGACTGTTTCTTCTTTGAAATTCAAAAGGAGAGAGAGAGAGAGAGAGAGAGAGAGAGAGAGAGAGATGCACGCACAGCCCAAACACAGAAGCCTAGAGAACGTGATCAGAAGATGAGGATCCGATTGTTGCCAAAGTCCACCACCACAATCATCCCGTCGGGGGTGACTGCGATGCCGGACGGGCGGTCCATCTGCCCAAAGCCACTGCCCTGGGCGCCAAACTTGCACAGGAAGCTGCCATTGGACTCGAACATCTGCACGCGGTGGTTCCTGGAGTCGGCCACAATGATGCGCCCCTCCTGGTCCACGGCCACACCCTGTGGGCGCAGGAACTGCCCATTGCCCGTGCCCTCGGAGCCCAGGAAGCGCGCGGACTGGCAGTCAGGGTGGATGACCAGGAGCCGGTGGTTGTTGAAGTCGGTGACCACCAAGTGGCCCTCGTGGTTGAAGGCCACACCACGGGGGGAGTCAAAGTGCTTCCAGAGAGCCCCCTCGAAGCCGTACTTATTCAGGAAGACACCGTCCGGCCCGAACAGCTGGATCCGGTGGTTGCGGGTGTCAGAGACCAGGATCTTGCCCTCAGAATTCACCGCCACGTCCCAAGGGTAGTTGAACTGCCCATTTTTGGTTCCCTTCTCGCCGAACTTGAGCAGGAACTGGCCCTCAAACGTGAAGACCTGGATGCGATGATTGTCCTTGTCAGCCACCACGATCCTGCGGGAGGCATCGCAGGCCACGCCAGCTGGCCGGTCGAACTGCCCGGGCCGGGAGCCCAGGGTGCCAAATTTGTGGTGGAAGGTGCCACATGGCTTGAACACCTGGATGCGGTTGTTGCTGCGGTCGGCCACGACGATGTAGCCCTCCTTGTCCACACTCACGCCCCAGGGGCGGCAGAGCTTGCCATCACTGTCGCCCTCGCTGCCAAAGCTCAGGCCCGGGAGCCCGATGCCCACGTAGCTGCGGCCTGACTTGACCACCACCTTGAAGGGGCTGTTCTCGATGTGCTGATTGCACATGGTGACCGACACCAGGTGCTCGCCCTCCAGCTGCGGCCGGTAACTCACCACATAGGTCCCGTTCTGCTGGTCACTCACCTCGGCACCAAACAGGTTGCCATCAGGGCCCAAGACCACGGCTGACATCAGGTCGCCCCCAGAGAGGCGAGGCTCCCCATCATGGTCGTAGCCAATAACTGTGAAGGAGGCCACCTTACCCTGGAGGGCCCGCTTGAGGCCATCCCCCGTGGCTTTGGTGAGTGGCGCGAAGGCCCCACTGCTAACGAAGCCGAATGACTTGATGGCGAGGTACAGGGCCTGGTCAGGGGGTGTGAACATGACACGGTCGTCTTCCTGGGGCTGCAGGAAGCTGCGCACGGTCTTCAGCTCCTGCACCTGGGCCAGCATGCGGTCCCGGGCCAGCAGGACATCCAGCGCCCGGCCCTCCTCCAGCACCTGCTGGACGGCACTGATGGTGCTCTCCAGCTTGTTGAGGCTCTGCCGCAGCTTCTCCACCTGCAGGTACAGGGACTTGGCTTTCACCTGGCGGATCTTCTCCACCTGAAGGGGGGAGAGTAGGGAGACAGGAGGGAGGCTTTGAGGCAAGCAAAAGCAACAACATACCAGGCGACAAGGATGATGAGGGAGATGAGGGAGTCGCCCTCAGACCCACCCTGAGGTGAGGGCAGGGCCCACAGAGACCACTGGTCCGTGCTCTTCAAAAATGGCAAAGATCCAAGGACAAAGGGAGGCCAAGGAACGATGCCAATTACGAAAGATGACTACAAAAAGGACAGCAACTTTCGGCACAGGATCCTGGACTGGGGGCAGCTGTCATTAAAGACTATGCTGGCGCATACCAACTAGGGACCAAGGGACTAGACCCCAGCATGCTGTCAGCATTGAACTTCCTGCTTTTGAGTAACAGGGATGATGGAACTGACTGCCTTTGCTCAGAGGAAATAAACACAAAAGTGTTAGTGGGTTAAGAGGCATCCTGTCTCCCACATGCCAATTTACTCCACGTGAATCAGAGTAGGATGAAAATAGGGCAAAATGTAAATTGGTGTATCTGGGGGAAAGGATACAGGGAGTTCTTTTATTATTCCTGTCACTTAGAAATAAAATGTAAAAGCTAAGAACAGTCATATAACAAATGTTTACTGAGCACCTGCTTTGTGCCAGACCCTGGAGGTGCGTAATGACCAGTACAGAATGCGGTCCTCGCCCTCACCAGCAGACTTCCCAGGGGACTAGAGCACAAGGCCAGGCAGCACTCCCCAAGGGCGGAATTTTCAGTGTAGCCACAGGGACTCCAATCTCTTCAATGATTTCTCCTCTGCTCTACCGCCCTGTCTCACCCCACTCTCTACTCTCCAAGAGAGAGGTAAAGAGGGAGAAAGGGAGGGAAGGAGGGATGGAGAAGACCGACTATGTGTGAAGAAAGTGAAGGGATCTGATGAGAACCCAATTTAAGATCACAGCCCGTACCTCCCTGCCCTGCCACACACCCCACTGTGGTCTTCTATCTTCACAGGAAACCTAAAAGGCCACACCACACCCCAAATTTGGAGACAGTAAGTCTTTGGAATCACTGGCCTGTAGTGTTTCCAGAGGCACCCTCTAGACTAAATTGCTGTAATCTATAAACCTGAATTCTGACCTCACCTGCTAAAATAATCCCGCTTCTCAGGTTCTCTGAACCCACGATCTGGGAAGGTGGGATTTTGTGACCAATGAAACAGAGCCACTTCTCCATTCTTTTGCATTAAATGGAGAAAAGTCCTCTAATTCGAAGTGATTTTCCCTGTGAAGGGGATGAATGAGTGTCCCAGCTGATTCGTGCCATTATGTAGACAGAACCAGGACTGCTGAGAGCTCCACTCCTCAGAATGCCACAGAAAGTCTATTTCAGAATACAACTCCACTACTGGGGAGGCCCGGATTTCAGTCAGATTTTGGTGGCGTGTGTGTGTGTGTGTGTGTGTGTGTGTGTGTGTGTGTGTGTGTGTGTG